ATATAGTATGACACTTTTTATTTGTGTGACTTACTTGTGTTATATTATAATAATTTATTTATTTTATATATACAATATGGATGTCAAATCGAAGATCATAAAAAGATGATTAATTTGATATATTATATATGTAAAACCAATAAGAAATACAAAAGTTATCAACTTTTAAAATACATTTATAATTCAATAGCTAATTGAAGGAAATAAATCAAAAGTCATAGATATATTAGTAATTAGTGCCTCACTATGTAAAATTATAAGAGTTAAAAGGTTATATTAGTACAAGTAATATTAAAGTACCTAAGTTAGTTAAATAATATTTATGGAATGTCCGAACCTATATTATTAATTTATTAATATATCAATATTATTTGTCCAAACCTAATTACGAAGCATGATTATTCGCCAAGTAGGATTTCGAAGCACCAGAAGCATCCAGGTAGGCTCAGTGCATTCTGAAATTATATCTAGGGGATAGTAATGTTGAATTAAAGTTAAATTTAAAAAAATGTTTAATTTTTTTTTAAAAAATTTTTGTATCCAAGCATCCTCTTAACTATATATGGAAGAGATAAATTAATTTGTTAAAATTTTTAAAATAAAGTGATGTGATATAAAAAACAATAATAGTAGTAGAAACTAATGGTTGAAACTTATATATAAATAAATATATAGGTAGAACAATAGTAAATTTTATAGATATCTTGATTAAAAAAAAAAGAAATTATTAAAAAACATGAGTAATGAACAAAAAAAAAGCAAGATGAATGAAAAGAATTTTATTTAACTGTAGGTAAAAGAATAAATTAGAAAATACATACAGTCTGGCCAAACTGTACCATAGAATATCTTCTATTTGATTGAAATTTTTGTATCGATAAAAGAAATGAATAATAATTATATTACTATAACCCGATATGATATAAAATATAATAGATGTAATATAGATTTAGTGATATTGTAATTGATATTTATAATTATCAGTGGTTTAATAAATTTTATACATACATATATGCAATAATGATTGATTCACAATTTAAAATTGTAGTAGAATATGAATCAATGAAATTGAAAAGGTTAAAAAATGAAGTATTTATTAGTAAAAGAAAGAATAATGAGAGTAAAAAATGTGTTAAGATTTTTTAATTAATATTGTGACCAAAGAAAAGTAATATTTTGATATGACATTGATGTGATTTTGTGGGACCATAATGTATAGTGGTTGACCTATAAGAGCATCTCCAATAGATGATTGTCCATTTTGGATTGTATGGCATGGAGAATGGAAGCTAAAAAATTATGTCTCCAATGATAAATGTTAATTGTGATTTCATTTGTGATGTGTTGAATTTTAATTGGATGGAGAAGATAAATAAATTAAATAAATATTCTAATATACAAAAGAAGTTGTCTAGAAAGGCTTCTACATCTAGAAAGCCTTCTAGAATTTTTTCAAGCCACATAAGATTAATTGTGACATGTGGCAACAAAATAGAGAAAGGGAAAGACCATTGGAGATGCTCTAATAATCTATTGGAAATGACTAATCATGTCCTATATTATTACTACCATTTCTTATTTTTGCACAAATTTAAGTTACATGGTAGAGTTAAATACATTTCATATTTTTATTGATCAACTGACTGATATTTGTGCACCTTTAGTTACAACGGCCCGACCCGTAGGTTGCCGGTTCTATCATAGCTTTATGGGTTGTGGCCGATTCTGTTTTTTTTTTTTTTTT